CACCCGACCGCCCCCGCCCGAACGCACTGTGGCAGAGATAATCGACAAGAACAAACTTTCGGTGGGGTTTTGAAAAGGATGCCGCACCCCAAACGGGCCCTATCCTGCAATTTACGATAGAAGCGCAAGCGCCGTCTAGATTGTCACAGTTGGTGAAGTGGATTCTTCCTTGCTGACACTTCGACTAGGATGAGCTCGGCAGCGCTGGGATTGGTTGTCCGAGATGTTGGATTCCTGCCTAAGGTTAGTGCTAAGTTTCTCTTCTTCAAACGTATGGAATTTGGTGCTTTTGCTGAATGCTTTGTTATTTCGATGGAAGAATGCTTCGAGAAATTCAGAAGGACGGATATTTTGGATCAAAGGATCTGTGTTTACTTCACCGCATGGTCTAAACATGAGACCGAAGAGCTCAACAAAAGCTGTTCGTGTGGGGAAAAGACGGTCGCTTGGTTCTGAAAAGTCGGCCAGTTTTTTGTGTTACTATGGCCTTACAACCCCTCCTTATAAGCTTGATGCTTTAGAACCATTCATGAGCAAGAGGACATTGGAACTACATTGGGGAGTTTATCACCGTGATTGTGTTGAGCGCTTGAATGAGCAGCTCAAGAACAGTTCATTATATGGCAGCACCCTGGAAGAACTTGTCAAAACCACCTACAACAACGGGAATCCATTACCAGAGTTCAATAATGCTGCGGAGGCTTGGAATCACGACTTTTTTTGGGAATCAATGCAACCGGATAGTGGCAGTATGCCTTGGGGAAGCTTGCTTCATCAAATTGAAAAGGATTTTGGATCGTTTTCCAATTTTAAGGATAAATTCATGGAATCTGCAATGGGATTGTTTGGTTCTGGTTGGATTTGGCTAGTCTTGAAGAGAGAGGAGAAAATGCTTGCTGTGGTTAGAACATCACATGCTGTTTGCCCTCTAATTTTTGGTGATTTTCCAATTATATCTCTTGATATGTGGGAGCATGCTTATTATCTGGATTATAAGGAAGATAGAAGAAGATACGTGAGCAATTACATGAACCATCTAGTGTCATGGCATTCAGCTACATTACGTATTGTTCGAGCCGAGGCTTTTGTAAATCTTGGAGAGCCAAAAGTTCCCAGTGGCATGAGAGCTTGAAGGTATTTTAATTAAGGAAGATTTACATACGCAGCACTCAATTCTTATGTATTTACATATCGAACAGCTAAGCTTCTTTTTTTTCCGTATATGCTTATCTTACCTATGCATGAAAAGGTGCATTTCACCTTTTAAAAATTAAACTAATGGTATTTTTTAGGTGATAAGAAAGGTTTGGGTGGTATAAATGTAAAAAAAGAGAAGTTTAGGTGTTTGATATGTAAATACAAAGGGTTTGGGTGGTTTGTATGTAAATGCCTCTTTAATCAAAAGTTGCTATGTGTAGCTGCAGTAAACGTGAATGAACGACGCTCATGATGTTTATTGAACTTTTAATATGCATCCAATTTCATATAAAATTCAACTTTTCATCAAATATACATATATA